GAGCAAACTCACACCAATTACACTCAAGAATTGTACTAAGACACTTGTTATTGCTTAGACTAGGCCTCTCGAGTCTTGTATACAAGAATACAATGTAACAGTCTTTTACCACTATTTTTCATATATTTCCCTTAGTCGCCTTTCTCCTATTTATACAGAGAATTATACTCGACTTCCGGCCCATCTAATCCCTGATTTTATGGGGACGGGGCTAAGCTCCCCCTTTGGGGATATAATTGTGATACCAAACATAAAATTAGTTTAAATTTTAACATTTTTTTTTTCTTTTAATATTGAATTTTAAGATAATCAGTGTAGTCCACTAGCTTGATTGGAGCAAAAACATTGGATCGTAGATCGTATTTCACGTTTTTCACTTGAAGGCTGGCGTGAGTGACCAGTGGCTCACGTTATTCACGCGGTGGAGGGTGTTACGTAAATGTTTACAGGTTGTACGGGAAGCTCAAATACGTGACCAGGTTGGAGTTTCTGTGGGACCACGTGAGGAAGAACGAGATCGAGATCCCTGATTTCGTGCATGATCATGATGTAGAGTTGGAGTACCGTCCGATGATGGACTATGGATTGGAGAGTGATCACCCCAGAGTCTATTGTGCGCCCATGGTGGACTGCCCAGTTCCTACTTACTCCACGAGGTATATAGCGTAGGGAACGCCGTGGGAACTAACTTGCGCCGTGATATTTTCGGATTATAATATTGTAGTATCTTAAAGTTGGATAGGATTGTCTTTTCTGTTTTTGTTGTGGGAGTTTTTAAGGAAGAGTGCTCGTCTTGTAAATATAAAAATATGAGTTGAATGAAAAGATAAATGTATGATAGAGTTTGGTCCTAAAGTGCAAAATCAGAGTGTTTGGTAAAAAGGAAAAGTTAAAGACAGAGTCCCGATTGCTTTATTCTCCAATCATCAAAGGTCTCTTTGGCTTTTTTATTTTGGATATCGCATTTTGTCATTTGTCATAATTTTGTGTCCGAAGCGCCTATTTTTTGGCTTTAAAATTTTTAAAAAGATCACAAGTATCTTTCTCTAATCCTAGTAATATTACCACTTATGCATTTAATGACGCATGGAAGGACATTTGGAAAATCAGAACCAAAGAAAAGATCAAGTTCTTCATATGGCAGTGTTGTTGGAAGTGACTTCCAGTTTTGAAGAACCCCCCGTCCAAAGAGATTGTTTCCGATGCGATTTGTCGTGTCTGTGGGATGGAAGAAGAGACAATTTCTCATATACTTTACAAATGCCCCATTGCCCAAGTGGCATGGAAAAGCAGTCCTCTCAGGTTGACTTTTCCAGACTCTGGTTCTTGTTCATGGTAACACAACTGGTTATATCTTCTGAACTTATGGCATGATCATCAGGCCTTGGAAAATTGTCTAGGTCTTGTCTTGTTTATCATGTGGCAGTTATAGAAAGGGAGAAATGATTGGCACTTCACTAGCAAGAAATGGTCTCCCCATGACATCATTGATCGAGCTTTATTCAACTTCCATGAGTTTTGGGCAGTTCACCATCAAGATGCTTCCATTCACAGTCCCCCAATCTTTCTCGTATCCCCGACCATCTTCTTGGCAAGCCCTTATATTGGGTAGATTAAAGCTAAACATTGATGCCGCTTTCAATTCCATCTCCCATCTCGCAGGGGGTGGCACCATTCTCAAGGATGACAAAAGGAGACCTGTTCGCTGCGCCTTTCTTTTCTTTTTTTTTTTGAGAATGTGGGATCGCCTGCAGCAGCAGAAGCTCTCACTTTAAGGGAAAGTCTTAAACTTCTATCTTCGTGGAGCCACACAAATGTTGATATTGAAGGTGATAATCAGCACATTATGCAGCTCCATTCGGTAGATGGATTTTCCTCTATTATTGTAAAGGATGTTGCTTGTATGATTCATCATCTGTACTCTTGGAAGCTTCTTTGGACTCTTAGAATTTGCAACAGAGTTGTTCACTTCTTTGGCAAATGGGCTCTCAAGTCGAAGTGTAGTGATCTTCAGTGGGTTGTTTAGCCTCCTGGGTTGATCCAAGCCATTGTAGTTGATCTCTAGTTTTTGGTCTACGTTTTTTTTGTAGCCTGAAGAAAAAAAAAAAAAAAATGTGATTCCGTTCAACTGGGACCATATGACATGGTGTTGTCCAAATCACACTCAAAATGTGTTAGTTTTATCAAATTGTATTGAGTTACGAGCTCGGTTATGGTACATCATAGCATAGAGGATCTCAATTCCTCAAGTTAGACTTTGTTTTTTTTTTTTTTTTTTTCCCTGAAGTTAGACTTGGTTCACTTGTTCTTGTTTTGGTACTTATTTTACTTATTAAGAACTTTACTAACAATTGATATTTCATCTACTTTGCAAACTAAATAATGAGGGTTCAAGTTTTTAAATGGGAAAAGTAATGTGTGAATTATGTGTGTATGTTTCTTACCCAAAAAAATAACCAACCTTGTTTTACCTCCATGATTATCATTTTTATAAAGTCCGTATTGATTAACGTGTACATGGTTGTGGAATTAGTGGGAATTTGTATTGGAGTATTCAGCTGAGACCAAAGAAGCAATCAGATGGATTTTCCTCTTACTATAAATTTCATTGTTGTCGGTATTGACATGTAGAATGGGAATCTATCTTTATTCTAGTTCGATTAATCAATTCTTCAAAAGATATATCAAACTACGGAGTGAATGATTTGATAAATGAATATCTGATTTTCTCTTCAATTTGAAATCGATTCACAACAATTCTTTAATTTTTCATATAAAAAAATAAAGATTCGTGTCGTCAATAATCATTTGATATAATATTTCAGTACGTATACGTATGTATATAGTTTTATCCTTCATCCTTTCTGAAGTTCCAATGAGAAAAGATTCTTCTAACAACACAACTTAATCAACTCTACGTGTTAGAACAGGAACCATTGATAGGGATGGCAACGGGGATGGTTTTGGGTGGGTGTACCCTCCCCCGCTCCCGCAACCGTTTAAAAATCCCACCCCGCCCAAAACCGTCTAAACGGGGGGCCTTTCCACCCCCATCCTAGCCCCCGTTTTACTTTTTCACCCTCACAGACACCCACCCTGCCCCGTTTAGTTCTAAAATTTCTTCTCATTTTTTATTTTTTTATTTTTTTATTTTTTTCCCTCAAATACAATTATATTACTATTGAAAAAATTCATAAAAAATGGAGAATCAATAATTTAACATAAAATTCAATGGTATGCGTTTATAGTTTGTAGGGCTTTACCACTCTCTAGAACGGGCTGAAAAAATGAGTGAATGTTACATAAGGTTTCTAAAACTAACTATACATACTAATAAAATGAGGGTAATTTAAAAAATTTACCTACTTAAACGGGCAGGGTGACCTCCCCCTGCCCCCGCCCCCGCCCCCGCCCCCGCCCCAAACCCGTGCTGATTTTCATTAATAAAAACCATCCTCACCTAAATAAGCTAAGTGGTCTCCTAAAACCGCTATAAATGGAGCGAGTACCCGTCCCCGCGGGGCAAATTGCCATCCCTATCCATTGAGTCTCTCCACCTATCCTTGTTTTTTTTTAATGAGGCTTTGATGTTATTAGTGAAAGTTGTGAAATGCATTTGATGATGATCCCACATCGGAAACTTACAAAAGCAAGACTCTGTGGAACTTCTATATAATAAGTTGAAAGCTAATTGTACAACATACTTACCTGGACGGGGTCAATGGGTGATCAAAAAGGCCCATGGACTAGGTTGGTGACCTCCATTGCACTTACGAGGGGTGCCCACCTAAGGTCTACTCAAGTAGTGGAACCTACGTCATAATTTGTGATAATGGGAGCCTGCGTTCGCGCGGCCCCTGCCCAGTGTATCATCCAAAGTTTTTGCTTGGCCCAAAGTGTGTTTTTGGGCCCGTAGTTTTTGTTATTGTCTATACTTTTTTATGATTTTGTTTTTTAAGTTTTGAAAGTCAATAAAATACACTCAAACCTTTCAAATATAAAATATTTATTTTGTTTCAAATTGTTGCACCAAACTCTCACCCTAACCGTATGCATATACGCTCCCTAACCGTCGATCGAACTTATCTCAGATCGATCTCACAAAGATGGATCTCACATTTTTGTGATCAATCGAACTTCATAGATTTGCATCCCACACTTCACATCAATTCAAATTTTGCATCCCACACTTCACATCAATTCAAATCAGGATTTGAATTGAGAGAGATCAAGAATTCTCACCATTTCTTAAATTCATGGATCCAATTTAATCAGTTGGATCTTTTCATTCATATTTTTTTCAACCAAAAACGTTTCATAAAACTCTTTTGACCCCGAATTTAGAGTATCCTACTTTCATGCAAATCACTACAAGCAATTGATATTTCACCATCAAGGGTGTGACATTAAAAAAAGTGATTGATTAGGGTTTGTCTTGGTTGTGGATTTGGTAGGCAAAAGGGTGGGATATAAGATGCGGACTAAAAGTCGAACAGTATGAATACATGGCTCCTTATACAACATCTTATTTAGCACAATAATCTTTTATTCTTTTATTTCTCCTATAATTTAATTAAAAAGAAAGAGTACTAAACCTTGGATTATCATTTTTATAATTTTGTGTAACCAAGGATTAATTTTGAGCTCTCGTCTAAGTGGGAATTTGTACGAAGGATTTATCAATCCATTGGCCTAAGCAGCTCTTGTCTAACTATTTTTTCATCTTTCTTTTTAAATATTTATTATGGCATCTCGTGGTAATAATCACCAGAAAGAAGGGGATTAAGTAAGGGAGTATTAGCTGAAACCATTTGCTACTCATAACCAGAGCAGCAATACAGAGAGAGAAGCAAGCAAGCGAGGCCTTTGATGTTAATGGTAAAAAAATTTTGAAGCTGGGGTTGGGGTTGTGAAATGCATTTTATGATCCCACATCAGAAACGAACAAAATGGAGACAACAGTGGAATGTCTATATAAAGCATGGAAGGGGAACAGATTCATACTTATCTGGATGGGATCAATGGGTGATCAAAAAGGCCTATGGTCTAGGTTGGTGTTCTCCATTGCACTTGGGAGGGTTGCCTGCCTAAGGTTTACCCAAGTGGTGGAGCCTACATCATGATTTGTGATAGTGAGGGTTTGCGTTCGAGCGGCCTCTGTCCAATATATGATTCAAATTATTTTTGAAGGTATCATTTGGCCCATAGTTTTGTAAATTATTTTTGAAGGTATCATTTGGCCCATAGTTTTGTTATGGGAAGACTTCGAAGTCCAAAACCTATGCGAAATGGATCATTGAAAAATTTATGATTTCATAAACACAACTTTTGAGAAAGAGAGGGAAAAGAAATATTAGGAATGCAAATGAGTTAATAAAATAATGAAATCTCTATTCAAAGATTCAGTGATAGTTAAGATGAAGACTCTTAATTATTTCAAAACTGATCTTAAAATTTAAGTTGTCAACACAATATTCAGTAGCTTTACAAAGAGACATGATGCACATTCCCATTATTATGATATAAGAAATTGATAACTCCTTATTTCGCACCAGAATCTTTTATTCTTTTTTTATTCTTTCTAGAATTTAATATTTCTAGAATTTAATAAAAATAAGAGTATTGCTTGATCAAGTGATCAATTCCAAAAACTCGATTTTGGGACTCATAAATTCTAAATATTCACAATCTCTTACAAACCACATTATATCATTTAATAAACTACAACTAAACTTGATACTTCAAAATAGTTCAATCAGTTCTCACGACTAAACACTTTGTGCAAATAATCTTTAGAGGTTAAAGACTATCTAATCCATCTCAACATCTTCAATTAACCAGTGAAGGGCCAATTTTAAATGACGCCATTCTCAGAAGTCTGAATTGATTAGGGTTTACTTGGTTGTGGAATTGGTGGGGACAAAGGTGGATTTACTTGCACACACGTAACCCTAAACATCTGTGGACTTATGTGCGGGTGCTTTGCAATCCGACCAAAAAGTTTAAACAAAGTTTAAGCTATTAGGTGGGGCTAACACCCAACTCATTTCATGTAATACCCCGATAATTTTAAAAGATTTATTAATTAGGATTAATTATTTTATTTTATTTTTCAATGATTTATTTTATTTTATTGAGTGTTAGATTAATTATCTTATTTTAATTAAGTTATATTTCGTGATTATGTATGATGATTGATTGTTTGTGTGGTTGATTATTGATTGAATTATTGGTGTGTTGATTTTATTGGTATTATATGATTTAGTTGTAAATTCTTGTTTGTTTATGTGCTTCATGTAATTAGTTATTTTAATTTCTGTATTTAATTAATTATCTTATTTATTTAAATTAATTGGATTGGGCTTAAGGAAAGTTGGACCAAAAGATGTGGTCTTGGGCTTGTATGAAACCTTATTGGGTTAATTAATGAAGGTCCGTGGTTATTTAATTATTTAAATGATCACTTTTGTATCAATTATATTTATATATATATATAATTATATATAAATATAATTAATTAATAATTGTTATGGAAAGATATATATATAGATATATATTTATTGATATTTATAAGTATATATGATTTAATTAACTAATGAGTTAATTATGGAAGGAATATATATTTATATATATATATATGTTTATAGATATAAATTATTTAAAGATTATTATTTTAATTCATAATACTAGTTGGAATAGGATTTGGAATTTAAGGTGTATAAAAATACACATAAGGCTTTAGGGTTAAAGGTTTTACACGTTAGAAAAATAAAACAGACAGAGAGAGAGGAAGAAGAAGGGCTGACAAGGAGGAGGTCGGATCTGAAAAGGAGGACGTCGGAATTGGAAGAGATAATTAAAGCTTAAAGCGTCGGTTTCGTTTCGAAACCTTCAGGCGAGTTTTCTCTAACTTTCCTCTTAGAACTCATAAGGATTTCACCTTGAGTATCAAGGCTTTAATTAAATTTATTTGTTTAAAAATTATGGTTAGATCGGAATAATTAAAAAGTATAAACTATTATATTTGATTTTTTAGATTATTGGATTTTAATTGATATATATAGGTGTTATGTATATTTTAAAATCAATCTATAGGTGGATTTGTGACCCAAGAGAGTTAATTATGGTTTCTTTATTTTCTAGAATTGTTCTGTAATTTTCTGAATTTTTTTTTGATATTTTTAGGAATTTATTAGGATTTATTTTCCTATTATTTGTTAGGAAAATAATTATATATATATATACTAGGTAACTGGCGCATGTGGAGCGGCGGCACAATAAAGAATTGATCCAGTGCGGCGCGGTGTAGGATAATAGGGTGTATACGCCAATTAGGGCCATTAGATTAATTAAACTTATGTGAATTGATATGGTGCATCGCGGCGCATAAAACTTTGGTGCGCATGTATATCTGGACCATAGAAGTGGTCTGGTCAACTATGGGATTATTTGGTGTATTGCAGACCATGAGAAGATGGTGCACTCGCTGATCTGGACCTTAGATCTATTATAGTTAATAGAAAATAATCTAGTGTGAGCGTGTTCATTTGCGCACTCATTTATGACCATTGGATGCGGCATAAAAGAAGTGATGGATTCAGTGTGGTGAGCTCACGGTAGCTGAAAGAGCTTAGCCAATACCAGCACACAAGGAGGCTTGAATCCAGCGCGTGCAAGTGCATAGTAAGCACGTGGGCGCGCGTGGGAAACTATGTTGGCCTAATTCGACACTAGAAATTAAAACGGTCATAACTTAGTCATTTTAAATCGAAATTGGGTCATTCTTGAGCTCAAATTCAAGGATTTTTCGTCTTCTTTCTAATGGTACCAATTTCATTATCAGATTCCCATCCTACTAGGAGATATTTATGTTTTAGTGAGAAAGTGTCGGAAAACTATTTAAACCAATATGGAGTATTTAAAGGAAACTATTTCTGACATATTTAGTTGCACTAATTTGTGTAAATATAATAAATTAATAATTTATTATGGAAGGAAGTGTATATATATATATATATATATATATATATATATATATATATATATATATATATATATAATTATTTATATATGTGTATATATAGTTTAATTTGTCTATGAGTTGTATGGAAGGATGAATATATATATATGTATGTATGTATGTATATTGATTTTAAATAATCAAGGATTATTAAAGAAGGTGTTAAACACATAAATACATTAAATAACATATGTGTAGGTATATATATATATAAATCATTTAAGATGATTAATATTATCATTCTTATTTGGCATATCTTAATAGGCTGGTTGTTAAATTAATGATATGCGTATAATATGCATGTGATGGCTATGTATGATTTAGCGTATTGTTAATTTTAAAGTTAATTCATGGTTAAAGTGTGGGCATGGATGAATTGTCAAGTGATTAAATATATTATCTAAATATTTGTATGAATAGAATACATATATGGAAAGTATGGATGAATTGCTAATTAAATGTATGAATAAATATACATGTGGAGGCATGGTTGAATTGCCAATGTATAAATATACATATACGGAGGCATGGTTGAATTGCCAATGTATAAATAAATATACTTATGGAGGCATGGTTGAATTGCCAATATATAAATAAAAATATTTACAATGGCATGGTTGATTTGCCAAAGCATAATTACGTTGTTATGTGTTAGATGATTAAAATATCATCTATGGTTGTTGTATGTATGGATTGGATTAGGGTTAGATATTTTTAAATGAGAATAGTTTAGTACTTACTGGTTAGTGTATTATTTTACATTAATAAAATAATATTGGGGAAGACGTGGATGATTTGTCAAAACTTGGATTTTTGATATGTGATTTAAACAATTAAAATCATTATCGGGTTGGGATTAAATAGAGTATTTCTTTTATTATAATTTGTTGTTTAAATGATTAAACAACTGACTAGGATGGGATTAAGGTCAAAGGAGTTTTTATAAAATGAAATGGTAGATTGGTCTAGGTATGAATATTATTTTAATAATTATTTAATAGGTATGGAAATTTAATAAACCTATTAATGGATGTGATTAGTATAGTATATATAATTATATATAGACATGTATATCGTGCTTTATTAAAGTTAAAACTTTATTAGGTTTGGTTTTGATCAGAGATGATCTGCTTATTGGTTTTCAGAGGCCTGGTAGAGTGAACTTGCTCGTAGGGTTTAACCCACGATTTATTTTTCAGGTTATTAGAGGTTCCAGTCTCGAGGTTGAGGATCCGCAGCTGGGAGACTGTCATTCGTCTATTCATCTTGTGTACTTTTAAATAGTATTGGATTATTGGATAATGTTTTAAGGGGTCCTTGAGTTATGGGATTTCCGAATTGTAATTGTTGGAGAATCATTAAGTAATATTTATTTATTAGTTTTCTTCAGCGGTTTATTTATTCTTTATTATTCATCTTTGTATTCTGTGCTTGTTAAATACTTAAATTGTTTTGATATCCCTTGATTTTGTGCGCGGACTTGATCAATCCGTGTTCCAAAATTAGGGGGTATCACATTTCACTTCCTATCTGGATTCGATGTAAGATAAAACTAAAGTTTAATCTATTACCTGGGTGGGGGATCCAGACGCCTCCGGACCTGTTGCTTGGCTTGATACCGGATCAAGGTTTGGCAATGATACCAATTATAATAGGCGGGTACTTTGCGATCCGACCCAAAAATTTAAATTATTAAGTGATATATACTCATCTCACTTCCCATCCGGATCCGATGGGGGATAAACGTCTAACAGTTTTCCTCACAAGTTACACAACTTAAACATTGTGAAGTAACCAAGAATTATCAATTTTATAATGTTGTGTAACCAAGGATTAATTTTGATCCCACGTATAAGTGGGAATTTGTATGAAGGATTTATCAATCAATCCATTGGCCTAAGCAGTTCTTTTCTAACAATGAGAGGATTAAGAAAAGGGAGTATTCAGCAGAAAGCGAAACCAAAGAAGCAAATGAGGCTTTGATATCATTGGTGAAGTTGTGGGTTGTGAAATGCATTTGATGATCCCACATCGGAAACTTACAAAAGCAAGACTCTGTGGAACTTCTATATAAACCATCGAAAGCTAATGTTGCAACATACTTACCTGGACGGGGTCAATGGGTGATCAAGAAGGCCCATGGCCTAGGTTGGTGACCTCCATTGCACTCAGGAGGGGTGCCCGCCTAAGGTCTACCCAAGTGGTGGAGCCTACGTCATAATTTGTTGCAGTGGGGGCCTGCGTTCGCGCGGCCCCTTCCCAATGTATTATTCAGAGTTTTTGCTTGGCCCAAAGTATTTTTTGGGCTCATAATTTTTGTTTTAACTTTTTAAATCTGAAGAATTTTTTAAACACAAAAGTGTATTAAATTTTTTTTGAACTATTGGAGAAAATCATTCTCCTCACAACATATGAAACTTACAGATAGTATTTATTTCTAGAATATATATATATATATTTATTTTGGGAAACTGTTCTTAATAATTCCTATTGATCATTGAAAAAAATTATAATTTTTTAAACACATCTAAAGGAACTCATAATCTGTGTGTGAGAGAGAGAGGAAATATTAAGAATACAAATGAGTTAATAAAAAAAATGAATTTCTTTTTTTTTCGGAAGGTAAAAATAATGAATTTCCATTCAAAGATTTAGTGATAGTTAAAATGAACAACATATCTTAATCTAAATTTAAGTTGTATACACTCAGAATATTTAGTACCTTATAAAGGTCTGTTCAAGACATGATGCACATTCCCGTTGCCAAGATACAATATACACTTGTTCATTAAAAAAAGTGCAATTTTCAAGCCAAGCTTAAAAATAAATCCAAACTAACTTCAAGTCAACCACAAATGTATCTAAGCTCGCATAGCAAAATTTAGAAAATAAAGAGAAAAAAGCTGATTAACCTACAAGTTCTAACTTATTTCTCAAGTACTCCCTGTGATTTTGGAAACAAAAAAGTGGGAAAAATAGAAATGTCCGCCCCCCTTTGACCAATAAACTTCCTTACAATGTCTATGGACATCTCTCTTACACAGTTACACTTGTAAGGCTATGTGTGAAAGGGACTGGAATGCAATATTTTGGGTTGCGTAAATCTATCTTTACATTAACTCGAGTACGTATGTCGAATTCATGTATGCATCCGTGTGTCGGACGTGCCAAATCTCCAAACAAAGAGAGACATGAACACAACAAACTATAAAACTAAATTATGTTTATGTAACATAGTTTTCATTATTGCCATTTCACTCAATTCAAAACAATAATATAATAAAACTGAATTATTGGACACATTTTAAAAGTGTGTATCCAACCAAAAGTGTCAGACATATATTCCATATTAATGTCCGAGCAATGTGTGTCGGACGTGCCCACTTTACCTACTTTTGAAGAATCCATGTAACATAAGCAAAGATATCACTCCCCTTTAAATTTTCTTTTCTTTCTCCATTTTCTCTTTTCAAAGTTTTGAAAAGGTACATGCCTTCTAATTTAGATAAGACCATTATCTTAGGTTGGTCTCACCCACATGAGATGTTGCAAGGAAAAGACTCTGGATAGATCTAATTCCAAGTTTCTACCATCGAACCAAATGGCCTTTTAAGTTGGACCATAAATCCTCCACTGTTTGTAGTTTCTTTTTCATTTGCTTTCGCTAGTGCTAAACTATTTCAGCTTCATGTACTAGAGTTGTAGAGCGAGGAACACCCACGCTTCAAAGTTTTGGGTCTCATTATGTAGGCCACGCAATGGAAGGTAGCTCTTTCCTTTCGACGACCCTTCCCCGAATCAATCAATGTCCTTCTGGCTTCTACAAGGGGACTCTGAACATTACACCTTTCCGAGGGCAGAAGGGGAGTAACACCTGACTTCAAGACCATAAGGACAACAATCAAATTCTATCTAGAGGTGCACTTTTCGGTAGAAGTGCACGAGTTCAGGTCAAGCTTGATCGAAACCAAGGTTCAAACATGGTCATTCTCTAAAAAGAAGAAGAAACTACTGAGCACAATATCAGTTGTATCATTCTTAAACAACCCAATATCCTTCTTATTTAAAGCAACCAGGGAGCAGAGGAGAACACAAGTTAAAAGCTTGAAGCAATTAAACAACTTACAAGTTTCTGCATTAACCAATCATATTTACAGATTTGAAAGCCGACCACCTCCTTATGAGGAAGGCATCAATCAGTTGATAGCCAAACTCAGACAACAATTTCATGATATGAAGTGCTATTAAGGAGCTAACCACGCCGGCTCTGCAGAGAAAGAAAACCATAAATCAAGGGAACTCCCAAAAAACAAAACCAAAATAAATCAAAGATCTTGCAGATATCTTACATACTTTCTAGTCATGAAGATTTCTAGCTATCAGACAACACAAAAAAAAAAAAAAAAAAAAAAATCTCTAGCTATCACAGTTTGTGGACCAATTGCATCTAGCTGTACCCTCAGCCTCCAGGTCACAGATTCTATATCCATGAGAGGAGAAAATTTTTATCTCAATTTTCTTTTAATTTCTAAACCAATCAATATATGTTATATGAAAAATTCACATATACAACAAAGCTAACAATTTGCATGACACTTCTCCCTAAAAGCCACATATACAACAAAGCTGCTTCACCCGGTTGGTGATCGTCATGTCCTTTACTGATTGTTACGGCGGCTGTCTCCTACCATGGCCATCACAAAATTGAAAGCTAACAGAAAGTATACACATTTTGGGTGTTTTGTAAATTAAATGACTTCTTTTTTGTTTTACATCCAAAAACATGTGAAGAAATTAAATGCATCGATTGTGGGGAGAGAGAGAAGGAGAGGTAGTAGGAATCACAGAGACAAACATGATAAAACATATGGATTCCATTGAAGAGGTTGAGGAGTGTTGATGTGCATCAATGGTTACACCCACCCCTGTGACCAATATATCTATCTCCAACTTAAACAGGGAAACAAGTAGAGCTCTTTTTCTTAAATATTAAATGGACCTTAATTGCACCTTCAAAGTAAGTTGAAGATGAACGAGGCGATGTAATATCAATCAGTAAGCAATTATTTAGGGGATGTCATTCCGAATGCACCCTCATAGCTTACATATGTGCTGAAGAATTGATCCACTGTACTTTTTTTTTTAATTCATACAAATTAAAAAAATCACTTCCCCGTAGGTGCAGAAATTTACAAAAAGACAAGAACAGAGCAAACTCACACCAATAACACTCAAGAATTGTACTAAGACACTTGTTATTGCTTAGACTAGGCCTCTTGAGTCTTGTATACAAGAATACAATGTAACAGTCTTTTACCACTATTTTTCAGATATCTCCCTTAGTCGCCTTTTCTCCTGTATAACTTTTCTCCTATTTATACAGAGAATTATACTCGACTTCCGGCCCATCTAGTCCCTGATTTTCTGGGGTTGGGGCTAAGCTCCCCTTTTGGGGATATAATTGGGTCATGTCAATCCCAATTTGGTTCTTTGCTGATTCCATGGGATCCTGGCTTATCATTTTGCTAATTTGGGGGGCCGATCGGTCTCTTAGGTGCATTCGACTGGCCACGAGTGTTGTTCATGTTGGCAAGTGCATTGTCATGTTGTGTTTCGTACAGGTGCTGTACCTTCATTGGTGGGAAATTTCCCTCCACACCTCATTTTTGGATCTCTATGATTCCCTCACATGCACACGAACTCAAACACATAAATATACAAGCTCATTGTAGTAGACTCACAACATACGCATGACATAACTGAGTTCTCATGCTAGAAATGGAGAGAGTTGTGTCCCCAACAGCTCAAGTCCATGTCACTATACAGACTAAGTATCCACATCTACAATAGCTGGGTGTAAATTGAAGATATTCCAGGATCTCATTTATTTTATCTGATCTGTAAGTAGTAAAATTTTGTGTTCTTGCCTTCTAAATGGTGCATGTGTTCGGCTTAGACAGAATTTCAATTTATTAGTTGCTCTATACGCTTAAAATTTGTCTACCAATGTGTCAATTAGCTAATTCAATATGTCCAAACTCAGACAGAAGCAACATGTTCTTGTAACTCTTTCAAATATCTAAAAAGAAAATTTCCAGATTGTTCAAGTACAATTATACAGTTTCTTTGAAGAGGGTTGAAATGACAATAACAAGTTACATCAACAGGCATAAACTTCAACCGTTTTAAAGGGCAACAAAGATCCAAATAGACAACTACTTGGGTATCACACGAACAACTCCCATCTATCATTTTTCTTCAACAATCAGCCAGACTATAATACAATAAGCAAAGGCAAAATATCCATATCTATTTGTTTTCTTACAACAAAATTCAGCCAGACCATAAGACAACAAGCACTTCAAAATATCCATTACAACTATCTTTTCCCTATCAATTCTGCTGACATCGTGTCTCTTGGCCTCAGTTCTGATAACTAAAGATGTCAAAATAGTTAGATTTAACTTATTTTCCTGAAGATAATTTTACTGTGATTCTGTATATTTGACCATCTTTATATCACAAGTGTAAACCAGTTTAAGAAGGAAGAAGAAAAGGCAAGGCATTACACGTGAGGAATATCAACAAAAAAAAAAAAAAAAAAAAAAAAAAGAATGGCTCTAGAATTTAAGAACAATACAAAAATTCCTCTGCAGAGAACACCAACATCATAAGAATTTGATCCAACAAAAAATTTAAAACTATATATCTCGAAAAAATTGACAAGGCAAACCAAAAGTAATTTAATTAGACAATTATCTATTGATATCAAACCAGACTATAACTGCTTCGCAGAAACCACAACCTAGATACAATTGCTTTCTTATTTGACATATTAGTTTTACATATGTTTAATACTTCACTTCACTAGTTTGATAAACAAGTCTATATTTGCCTTGAGTTTAACAAAAAAAAAAAAAAAAAGTCTATATTGACATTTAAGATTTTGCAATAATAAGTTAAAGGCTTCTGAAGCAACGTCATTTTCGTCTCTTTTAAGCAACAGTATATTGGAATCAAAATCAAATGTGATATTCCATATCAAAACCAATTGTGATATTACATGCACTTCTGGCTTTTATGAGATGCTACAGGAAAATTCTTTGAATGTTATACAATTACATGACCACAAATTAGCTTATTTACAATTTAATGATTAGAATCTTCCGTGTAAAGTTTAAATTTTTTTAGTTTTCATCTTTTATTAAAAGCAGCCACGTTTGTAAGCACTTGAGCCTCAAGAACAAGAGCAAGACCCCACACTGTCAATTCCTAAGAGCCTCTTCCGACAACCCTTGAATTTTAATGGCACCACTATGATTTACATAACATTTTAACGCAATCATCATCATTTAAATGGTGTCATTTAGACCAATGGAACGTCATTGAATTTCTTCAAACATGGTTATTTTAAAATCCTTACTTTGACAGAATTCAATATCTTGAAATCATTTTTGAGATGCTACCATTTTCAAAATGACTCCATTATGATAAGGAATTTTTCACGGAAAAGCTATGTAAATAGCTAACTGGCCAATTCAAATTCAAGGAAAATCCAAACATATCCTAAAACCATAGCCTTGAATGAAATCCCACCTGATTTCCGTATCATCCTAAATTATTGTCTATCCATTGATTCATGTTCATGAATGAAATTTCAAAAAGCAGCGTCAAGAACCTCATCCACATTATTATAGAATTACTGAGAAACAAACAAAATAAGGGCCCTAAGTTATCACATATAGAAATTGTGGTTGCAGAGTAAAGACACATAATCAGAAAGAATTAAAGAAGCATATGAAAAATGTAAGCTTGAAAACTAGGGGGAAAAAATGTAATGTAAGCTTGAAGGAAGAACACTGAAAATCTCAATATACCCGTAATCAATCAGCTCAGCTATGAGATGAATAAAATATCATACATATTTCAGAAATACAAATCACAGCACTTACATAGTCAACATGCATTTGGAGTAATCCAAATTGGCGGAGGCCAACCGGACGGAGAATGATAACAGGGGAATGTTTCAATAGTACCATCTTCTAAGTTGTAGATACCCAAATCATGATCCCAAGGAGCATCATCATAATTTGACTCAGAATAATCATCAGTGTAATAGATGCAATTTCCTTCACATCCAGGAAAATCCGAAGCTGACAAAGCAAATGAAGAATTTTCCCCCAAGAACAACATCTGATCACCCAAATTTGTCACTTCCTCCCAGTTTGAGTTACTCAAATTCAGCCTATACACTTTGAATAACACTGTCTTATATACAAAAATTTCAAATAGATCCTCATCATATTCAGTGTCTAAATACCTAGTTACCAATAGGAACTGGTTCATCGAACGCACCAAATACTGCATATCACCACCAAACTGTGGCGGTGTATCCATAATTGAAACCCTAGGTGACGGACCACAAACATCACAAATAGCAATAGCTCCATATTTATCCACAGCATAAAACAATCCATTATAGTATATAACATCCTCACAGTAAGACTCTGAACCTTCTATACACCTCCAAGACTTGTCTCCCTTTTTGCAAAAAGCAAGATCACCTGTTCGATTGAGTATCGCTAAAGCAACGAAATCGGAATCATTCGAAGGACTTGACGAGAGAATCACTTTCTTAATGAAATTGTTTCGCATGTCCTTCAAATTGCAAGTGTAGACAACACCGGCCGGTGACCTGAGAGAGTATTCGCGGCCGATATCGGAGAAATTGAAGCCAATAACGTTCGGAAACGTCGATAACGGAGGGAGGTGAATCTTGGATCTGGTGAAGGGATTGAGAAGGTAGATCTCCGGCGACTCGTGGAGGAATACGAGCCAGCCGTGGGAAGATCCGCAGCGGCGACGGTGGTAGGGGATTTCAGGGAGGTCGAGGCGGTGGGTTTTGTTGGTGGAGAGGTTGAAGAAGCTACGGCGGTGGGTTTGGTGGGTCCGGGGAGGGGGAAGCATCAGCCATGGGAGTTGGCAGGGGAGGTGGAGAGGGGTTCTAGGGATTGAAGATCTCCATTTGACGCATACAGCTCGGCATCTAATGTAGTCGATGAGGATGGTGAGTTTCCCGGCGATGGTTTCGAGCAATTCCGGCGGGAGTTCAGTCCAGTCGGCGGCCATGTCTGGCCGCCGGTGTCCCTATTAGTGAGATTTTTTTTCCCTCTTCTTTTTGATGTTTTTTATGCAGCGTTGAATGATGATGAATTTGGCAGGATTTTTGTATTTTAGCGTAGGATTCTTATTGTTAGTAAAGAGTTTTAAATGGAATTGAATTTAAAGGAATTTTGAATATCAAAATATAATATTTTACAAAATTTCATAAAAGTATTAGATAATGATTTTTTATTATTATTAGTCTTACTACTATTTCATAGGAAATTTATCAAAATTGAATAAATATAAACTCGGGCAAGTCAGGACTGCATAAATATAAATTTAATTATCAGATTCGGTTGTATTATATATAAGATTAACAACAAAGTTAATGAAAGAACAATTCCTTGGAATCGACTCTGAAATAATGATCTTGGTGTGGACTTATTTTAATCAAGTGGAAAATAACATTGCCTTCAACTAGGAATCTGCCATTTAACCCCTGAGAATACTTAGGAATGAACGAAATAAAGCAAGCCTATATGTGCTACTAATCAATGTCATACCGGCTTAAACAAGTTTAATACTCAAATGAAACATTAAATTTCAATACCTATAAAATTTAGATTTTTTTTTTTTTGGGTAACTCTATAAAATATAGATAACTTACCTAAACAGAAGAATAAAGATTGCATTGCATTTCAGTTCCTGTTAGGGACTCACTTGTCCTATAAAGTACTATATTTTATCTACTTGTTGCAGGATTGATAAATCAACTTTAGCATATCATCTTGATGTATCATCATCAGCTCTTATAAATAATTATGCTGCAATATGTTTTGGTTTTGATTAGTGCAAATAATTTATTCATGTGCTTGTGGAACTTTTGCAGATTGAACTCTTACCTGTTCGGATTGGATCTTTGTGTACACAATGGGTGCATCTTTTGCATGCTTGTATAGGATCTGTTATAAGAGCACTAAATGCCATGCATTTTCTTGAGAATTTTTCGTTCCACAAGTATTGGAATTTTAAATTTTGTTATATTCCAATTTTGCTTCTTTATTCTCCACTTCTCCTTGTAATTTGATCAGTAATAATACAAATGATGTCGTTCGGTCATTCAGGGAGCTGTAAGGAACCCTAGTTTTCATTGAACAACTCTAATGACTTGATGTGCAAGGGCCTCTAGCCCAATGGTTTAGCCTCCTCGCCCTCAAAGAGGAGAGGAAGGATTCGAAAGTGTGGGGCTGTACCAGAACTCTAATGACACTATGGAAATGCAACTTAAGATTTAATTGGAGTGGAACTCTAGTGACTTAATGGTAAAGATTTTTATCTACAGTATCAGTTGGCCCATCTTGTGCTGAAAGTAACTTTCTATGGACTGCCGACTAAAATAACTAAGTAATCTGGAACCATCTGAAAGTTCATCTCTAGGTCCCTTGGCAACCTTAATTTTACGAGATTTCAACTTCCTGGTCAAGCCTTTATAATAACGGCTACTGCAAAAACAGTTCGTCGAAGCTCTATTTGGGTAATGTTTGGGTAATGCCAGCCGCCACAAATGGTGTTGTCTCCTCAAAGAGGAGGCTACTTTGATCCGGAGGCTTTGGAGGAGGACGGTGGTGTGGAAACATCTGATCTCAGATTTCGGACAATATGGCAATTTCAGAAGAGGAAGAATCCTCGAAGACTCTGGAACGGGGCTCCTGCCATATGTGGTAGATGCATGCTGAAAAAGCGAGAGATTAAAGGAGTGGGATAGTAGAAATATGCACAACATTAGGCTCAATTCCCTATTTTGGTTTAACCAAACAGGCAAGACCAGTAGGTTTAAGTGCCTGACTAAGATTTTACCAACTGAAGTCCAACAGCATATGAGAGAAATTTGCTCTGCTCGTGATCTTCTCAACAAGCTGCTTTCAGTCACTTGTTAATGCTTAGTCCAGAAAGCTTGGTGAATTGGCCTAATGCTAATTTTAGGGTTATGACTGAGTCGAAATCCCCATGGGCAAGGAGCATTAGGTCAACAAAGATCTTGCAGATTTCCTACATACTTTCTAGTAATGAAGATCTCTAGCTGTCAAGACTCATAAAAGTAAAAATAAAAATAAAAGATCTCCAGCTATCACAGTTTGTGGACCAATTGCATCTAGCTGTGCCCCAATCACATATAGAAAAAATTTATCACAGTTTCTTTTATATCTAAACCAATCAATATATGTATATATGGAAAATTCACATATACACATGAACTAACACATAAACATACAAGTCCAATGTAGCAGACTCACAATTTACACAAGATAGAACCGCGTTCTCATGCTAGAATTGGGGAGAGTTGTGTCCCCAACAAATCAAGTCCATGTCACTACGCGGACTAATATCCCACATTTACAGATCATAGAACAAATCATGTAATAGCAGGATGGCAGGATCTCTTTTATTTTATCTGATCTGTAAGTAGTTAAAATTCGTGTTCTGACCTTCTAAATGGTGCATGTGTTCAACTTAGAGTCAATTCCAATTTATTTGTTGCTCTATCTGCTTAAATTTTGTCTACCAATGTGTCAATTAGCTAATTCAATCTGTCCAAACTCGGATAGAAGCAGCATTTCCTTGCAATTCTTTCAATATCTACAAAGAAAATTTTCAGATTGTTCAAGAACAGTTGATATACAGTTTCTTTGAAGAGGGTTGAAATGATGATACGAGTTACATCAACAGGCTTCACCTTCAAACATTTTTAGAGGGCAGCAAAGATCCAAATAGACGACTACTTGGGTATCACACAAACAACTCCTACCTATCATTTTTCTTCAACAATCAGCCAGACTATAGGACAATAAACAGGCAAGATAATAATATCCATATCTTTACTACAAAATTCAGCCAGACCATAAGACAACAAGCACATCAAAATATTCATTACTACTATCTTTTCCCCGTCAATTCTGCTGATATTGAATCACTCTTGGCTTCAGTTCTGATAACTACAGATGTAAAAAAAAATTAGATTTATCCTATTTTCCTGAAGATAGTTTTACTGTGATTTGTGTATATTTGGCCAACCTTATAGCACAAGTGTAAATCAGTTTAAGGAAGAAGAAAAGGCAGTGCATGTGAGGAATATCAACTAAAAAAAAAAGGATGGTTCTAGAATTGAAGAACAATTTAAAAATTCCTCTGCAGAGAACACCAACATCATAAGAATTTGATCCAACAAAAAATATTTAAGTCCATATCCCAAAAAAACTTTGACACGGCAAACCAAAAGTAGTTCAATTAGACAATTAGCTAATGATATAAAACCAGACTATAACTGCTTCATAGAAACCACAACCTAGATATGGTTACTTTCTTATTTGATATGTTAGTTTTACATATATTTAACACTTCACTTTACTAGTTTGATGCACAAGGCTAAAATTGGCATTTACAATTTTTTGCAATAATAGGTTAAAGGGTTCTGAAGTGTCATTTTCGTCTCTTTTAAGCAACAGTATATTGGAATCAAAATCAATATTCCATGCACTTCTGACTTTTATGAGATACTACAGCAAAATTCTCTGAATGTTATACAATTACATGACCACAAATTAGCTTATTTACAATTTAATGATTAGATTCTTACATGTAAAGTTTAAATTTATAAGTTTTCATTTTTTATTAATAGCAGCCATATTGTAAACACTCAAGCCTCAAGAAAAAGAGTAAAGCCCCACAATGTGAATTACAAAGAGCCTCCTCAGACATCCCTTGAAATTTTAATGCAATGATCATCATTTAAATGGAATCATGGAGATCCACTTAAATGATGACAGCAGCCATAAGGCTAACATCATGGAGTGATCCATCGCTTCATAGAATGAAATTTATCATAGAGTTCTTACAAAAATGCACAATTGAAAGTCTGAAGTCATATTCAAAATTGTCAAAACATCAAAAATTGAATACATATCACAGACCACTGATTTGAGAATTAGTCTCACACCAACGGGCTAGTGGCCTAACGGTATCAGCCTCTTACTTCCCAAAAGGAGGTCAGGGTTCAAGTCTCAAAAGAGACAAGTGTGTGTGAGTACCAATTAGGAAAAAAAAGAATTAGCCTCACCTAAGATTGAACCAACTAACTTACAGAAATATAGCCACCTTATATCCACCAAATCTCCCAGGCCACTGATTTGAGAATTGGCATCCCTTATTTATTGTTTAAAAGTAACATTTCGTAAGCACCAGTGGTCCAACTTATCCTAACACATCACTACGTCTCATTCCATTATCTAATACCTAATCCGATGAAGTAATGGAATTAAATTAATGAGTCTCCCAGAGATGATGTCGTAAAATGCAAGTTATGTAACTTATGTTCATATTAAAGAAGCCCAAAAATATTTAGGATGGAGGTGGCTAGTCGCATAACTACATTTTAGAAGATGTAAACAAGTTGAAGAGACAAAATCCAATAAGCCTTTTAAACTTTCTATGGATCAAAATTTGAAGAAGATGCATTAGAAAATTATGAAATTATCTTGACTCTTTAAAGGATAGCATGTTATATGTACTAAAAACACAACAAAAAGCAAAGAGCAAATCTATGCTATATAACCATAGCAATGTAAATTTCTATAGTATCGACTATTCGAGGTTAGGAGGGTAGACTAAATAAAGGCCTAAACTTTGTCATTACTTGCATTTCAGTTCTAGTTAGCGACTCACTTGTCATATTAAGTACTTAAAAAGTTATTTTTTAAATAATTTTCTTAAAATTAAACCATAAAATTTACTTCTTAAGGCTCATTTTCTAACTTTGGAGCACAATTAGTTCTTTTTCTTGGAAATTGTGTCACATGATCCAGACCTAAATAAAGTATGAAGGTAATGACTGAAGAATGCACTCCAATAAATTAGGGGATTTCTCAAAAATTGAAAATGTTACAAAAGCTTTCAAAGTCTAAACCCTACCAATACAAAATTGTGCAAGCATAGAAGTAAATCAGAGAGTAAAAATAGAAAAGTTATATATCTAGGTGCAATTATAGAGAGAGGAGAAAGAAAAAGCAAGGAAAGATAGCAACAATTTTGAGTGCTGACTGCTGTCGATGGTCATGAGAAAGAGAGAGATAGAGAGAATGAATTAATATGTGTGACAGGGAATGGAAGCAAACAAAAGACAAGGGAGTTTGTTAGTCTGATTTAGTCCTGCTTTAATTCTTTTATTCCCCAACTCACATAGAGGAATGAGCATTCCAATCTATATATATATATATATATATATATATATATATATATATAAGTCTAACATCATGGAGTGATCCATTGCTTCTTAGAATGGAATTTCTCATGGAGTTCTTACAAAAATGCATAATTGTAAGTCTAACGTAATATTCAAATTTGTCAAAACATCAAAAATTGAATACATATCCTAGGAGTATATATTCCTGCTTCTCTGGACTAGCTCTTTTATTGTATATTTCTTACCTGCAATTGGAAAAAGGCAACCCGATAATTCCAGAAACTCCACGGTTAACCACCATGATCAGATCACGCCTTAACACCCTCCTTAACCTCTCGCCTAATTTGAGAATCATCATCTCTTATCAACGGTTTAAATGTAACATTTCATAAGCACCAGTGGTCCAACATGTCCTAACACATTACTACGTCTCATTTCATTATTTGACACCTAATGCCAATGAAGAAATAGATTTAAATTACTGAGTCTCCTAAAGATGATGTTGTAAAATGAAGGTTACATTCATATTAAAGAAGCCCATAAATATTTATGATAGAGGTGACTAGTAGCATAACTACAATTTAGGAGGTGCAAACAAGATGCAAATCTTAGAAATGAACATCCTAAAGAGACAAAATCCAATAAGCCTTTTAAACTTTTGATGGATCGATAATTGAAGATACATTAGAAAATTATAAAATAACCTTGACGGATTAAAGGATCCACATGTTATATGCACTAAATGCACAACATAAAGCAGAGAACAAAACTATGCTATATAACAGTAGCCATGTAAAGTTTCTCGCCAATCAAGTTTAGGAGGTTAGATTAAATAAAGGCCTCAAATTGACAAAGTGAGTACTTTCAGACTCGAGTCCGCAGATCATCAACTAAGTGATGTTTAAAAGCACCTACCAGCATAACAATTTACTCAGCCATGTCCTCCACTTCAGCACTTTTCACTTCAGGGGTTCCCCCATTGCTCACATCACGAAGGTCGGGATAATTCCGGTGGTTCAGGGAATGCAACCATAGGCCAACGACTCCTTCCTTATGCTCCATTGATGCAATATGAGAGTATATGTGCTTCATTTTGAATTCCTCCGCCTCTACTGCATAAGGTTTCATAGACAGTTCCTCATGACTGTCTTTCCATTTCTGGTTATATGAAGCAAAGAAGCACTCGTCCAAGTACAAGCCAACCTCTGGAGCAGTAGGAACGTTGATGTTAACATCCCTAAAAAATTTAAAACAAAAGTTTAGTGAAAACATATGTATATATATATTCTGATACAAACAATGCAGCAGCCAAAGCAACAGAGTACTTACTGCTGCAGAGCTGTTTCAAGCAACGATTCAGGCGCACAATGCCTCATAATTGCCACAGCAAGACCAATCATCTTCCGAATCTGATGAAGCATGAAGCTTTGTCCCACAACCTCACACTTCACAAATTCAATACCTTCAACAGTAACTATGGTGTTAGCATTGAAGGAGATGATGTAGCGCCGAGCAGAAGGATCCTCAGCTTTCGTTCGCGTAGTGAAGTTATGAAAATTGTGCGTTCCCTCGTACTGCTTCAAAATTCCATTAAACCGTTCCTTCTCTTTTTCGCCATAACAAAAGTCACTCCTTTTCTCATGTTTTGCATCCCCATTGCTGCACTCATCCATTTTACCTTCAACTTTGTAATCCTCAATGGCCGACTCTGAATGCAAAACATTGCACTCAATTTGGGTAATACCTTTGTCTACGTCCTTCGCAGGTTCAGATTTCGAATCGTTATCAATGCCATTTTCAAAAGAAACTATATTTACCTCTTTTACTTCCAAATGTGATATATTGTTCGATGAAATGTCTGACTCAACTGTGGTTTCAGAATGTAAAACAGTAATATCACTTGACATAACCCTAGAAACAGCTTCTGATTCGAAACTACGTTTACCCATCACTCCTTCGACCTTTCGGCCTCTCTCCGAACACTCCAAACACTTCACAAGTTCGTTTTCGGAACCTAAACTAGCCAACACACTCTCTCTATCGCGATGCGAATTTGGGTCGAGAGCAAAAACGGGTATCAGATAAACATACCTTCGCCGATCGCAGAACTTCTTCGCATTGAACGACCCGGTCACGCGCTTGAACCCGAAGATCCGTATCTGTAGAGGGAGGTTGGAATTGAGGCGATCGACTAGACCGGGCGGGTCGATGTAAAACCGGCCGGAGACGACCTGGCCGACGGCACTGACGCCCTTATCGGTTCGGGCGGACCGGGCCCAGTCGAACCGTTTGGGTTGGCCACGGTCATGTTCGGGGACGGCACCGGAGAAGAAGAGTGCTTCTTCGAGGTCGCCTTCGATGGTTTTGGCGCCAGGGTTCTTTTGCATTCCTTGGTAGCCGACGCCGCAGTAGGCGAAGAATATAGCAATCTTGCGGCGTTTGTACCTCGGTTTTTTCTCCGATGAGGTGGTGGTGGTGGTGGTGGTGCCACGGTCTTCGTCGGAGGAGGTGGTGGTGGTGGACATTTTGAGTTTCTTGGGACTTGGTTGTTTTGGGGGTGATGGAGGGTTTTCCATGATTACTGATGAGTGATCGAGTTTACCATGGCTGTTCGCTACTTGTCCAATTGATGGCCCTGAAAAAACCCTAGACAATAACAGTCAAAACGGTCAATATATATATTGAAATGGTCTTACTTTTTTCTTTTGGTATTAGTTTTTTCAAATGCACACTTTGTTTTTCTTTTTCCTTTTTTATGCATTAATGGTAAGAAATTAGGTTAAGAAAATAGTTTGAAATTTATAAAAGATTGTTTTAGAATTAGATTTTATTTTTTAACTCTCTATTTTCATTTCAAACTGACAACAGATTTTCTAATGCTTTTTCGGAAAACAAGAAAATTGTAATCCAAAATTTGAACCAATTTGACGTTTAATTTGTATGAATTTCAATTTATCTGTTTTATGCATACACAGGCGAATTAAGGCTAGGGTTGCAACTGTAGCAGATCAAATTAAAGTCAAAATTATTTGAATTTTGACTCTTTATTTTTTATTTTTACTAGTTTTAGGTTATATTTAAAGCCGGCTCAATTTACTTATGAAATCGGGAAACAAATTTTTTTATTTTTTATCTTATTTATATTTTATTAATTTCATATTAATATCCTTTATTAATAAATGGATATAATCTTCAATATTACAAAAAATAAATAAATAAAAGAATATGAGTGAAGTTCAATTTTTTTTTTTTTTTTTGTAAACAATTTAATTGATATAAAAATCATTAGTCAAAATATTTCAAGTTTCTCAAGTGAAATGTCGGATTTCAATCCTTTATAAGGACAAGTGGGTGTGTGATTTAAAAGTTTAAGTTTACACGAATTAAGATCCTCACATGTCCTCTTTTTTATTCGAGAACGGACCTAAAATGGAATCCATGGGTCAATTGCCCTCACCGATTTTTTTTTTTTTTTTTTTTTCTTTAACGTTATATTTTAATGTTCACCTAGATTACCAAAAAAATTCACTTTTACCCCTTACACAATTTCTTGGATTATTCTATCCCTAACTTGAATTTGATTCAGCAGACAGACAAATACCAACACTTATTTAATTGTCTACATTTTGTGGCTTCATTCATGATCAGAAAGCACTTGTTTATGCTCTCTTAAGAACTACCACCATTCACTGGGCCTTTAAGTTTCTATATAAGATTTTGGGTTAATTAGTGACACCCCCCGAGGTTTGATGTATTGACAGCCATATACAACTTAGCTATTTTTTGGACAAAGACACCCCCTGTAATTATTGTAATCCAAACAATCCCTTAAAACATTAGAAAAGACGATATAGCCCTTCAATTTAAATTCATTTTTATTGCAAAATATCTGAATTCATAAAAAGTCAAATTTGCCCTTATATATATACACTATATACACTATTGCCCATATATATATATATGGAATAACAGAGAGGAAAAGAGGAGCAGCAGCATCGCCACCACTACCACCCACCATCGCCAGCTGTCACCACCACTACCACCCACCATCGCCAACCATTGCCACCAGTACCACCATCACCCGCCATCGCCGCAGATCGATGTCACATATTGGTTTTTATTGGCCGACGACCGCAACAAATCGTCGATTAGCACCCTGATCATGGAATTGGTCTTCTTCATTTGTAGTAATCAGTGGTGGGTCTTCGGGCTTTTTGGCGTCGTTAAACAAGAAGAAGGGTGGGTCTTCGGGGTCGTTGAAGAAGAAGAAGAAGAAGAGAGGTGGGTCGCCACCGCAAAAACCCCAAGTTCCACCGTCCGATAAAGATCAAATCAGTCTGAATTGATTCACAAAATTTCGCAAACCCTAGGGGGTGGAGGAGTTAGCTTTGGTATCATCCTTTCATGGAAGATAAAGTTAGTTCCTGTTCCGGAAATTGTGACAATTTTTACAGTTACTAAGACCTTGGAAGAAGGCGGAACAAAGATCCTCTACAAATGGCAGCAAGTTGCAGACAAGCTCAATGAAGATCTCTTCATTAGAGTCATCATAAAACCGGCAAGTATCGGTAAGAAAGCTTATCAGAGGACTATAAGCACTGCCTACAATGCAATGTTTCTTGGTAAAATTGATAGACTCCTAAATATAATGAATGAGAACTTCCCGGAATTGGGGTTGCAGCGAAAGGACTGCAGCGAAATGAGCTGGCTTTAATCGGTGCTATACATCGCCGGCTATCCAAGTACTGTACCCCCTGAAGTTCTACTCCAAGGGAAGTCAACATTCAAGAACTATTTCAAGGCCAAATCAGACTTTGTGAGAGAACTAATTCCTAAAGATGGCCTAGAAGGGCTCTGGAAAAGGCTCTTGGAAGAGGAAAGTCCATTGGTGATATGGAATCCATATGGTGGAATGATGGGAAATATTTCAGTGTCTGAAATTCCTTTCCCTCATAGAAAAGGTGTCATATATAAAATACAGTACCTGACGCTCTGGAACGACGCAAACAGTGACACAGCGGCAAAACTGTAATACCCCTAGTTTCCAAAAGGATAGAATAGGAATTTAATTTTGATAATTTTGAGTTTTATTGCATTTTTAATATGTGAGCTGTGTTTTGGTTTGTTTAAACCCCTAGTTTCCAAAAGGATAGAATAGGAATTTAATTTTGATAATTTTGAGTTTTATTGCATTTTTAATATGTGAGCTGTGTTTTGGTTTGTTTAATTGATTAAGTCTGAATTTGTGTGTATTTATTTTTAAATAAATGATTCACTTAAATTTGTTTTAATTAATTACTTGAATAATTTGATTGAGTTAATTGTTTTATTTGAATTAATTGGCTTCTTTTTGGTTTAGTTGCATCTTCGTTTTATTTGACTTAAGTTATTTGATGTAGTTATTTAATTATGGAAATTAAGTAAATGAGTTGTTTTAAAACAATACGTTAGTTAAACAGTAGGGTTAAGAAGGTTGTATAGTGAGCCGCCGTAAATTAGAACTGAGATAGTTCATGGGCCGATTAGGATGGGGATTAGGGCTTAGTCTCCGATTATTCGTGGACTAGGGTATTCATAAACACCTATAAATATAAAGCAAGATATGGTTTAGGGTTTGAAGAACAAAATAAACTATGTTCTGTAAACCACAAACAAAGCCCTAAATTGGTAGTGAAAACCAGAGAGATACAGGGAGAACCGGAGTGGGAGGTTGGGTGGTTCACAAAACAGAATCACAGAGGGAAGTTTGGTGTGTGTTACTAGACTACAATAGGAGCAGCAAGGGTGGTTTAACACTCAGAGACGTGGGATTAGCTTTGCAAGTTTGAGTTTCAAAGGCAAGTTATGTTCTATTCTTTCTCGTTAATTCGTGTTCTGTGCATGCTTAGGAAGACTCCAGGGATTAAACTAATGCTTAAACAATCTATTATGCATGTTTAAACTGATAATTAACTTCGTTGCATGGAACTGTTATACCAAAATTCTTTAGGTTTCTGTTAGTTGGTTTCTCTTATAACATGTTTATTTTTCTTGTTTAATTGAGATCAACGATTCGTATGGTTGCCTAGTAATTAATCTAGGACTGAGTTTGAACTCTAGAACAGGTGCTTAGAACAGTATTTAATTGCATCAAATTAATCTGAATTAAATCTGTCGCAGCTTGCTTAAAATTGGTTAACAGAGGTGTTGTAGTTGTTGTTTTAGAACTTGTGTTCCTACACATGTTAGGGTTGGATCTCAGTGGTTTAAACTTGTTTAGGACTAATATTGAACCTGGAATAAGAATTAGAACATACAACAGAGGCTCTGTAATCACCGGAGTTGGAGAAGAAGACGCAAAAACAGACGACGGCATCTAAGAGAGGAAGAGCAGGCTCCTCCTACTCTTAGAGCCGGCTCCCAAGGATGGGGGAGCCGGCTCTCCCTTTAAATAGAGCAGGCTCTCAAATTTTGGAGCCTGCTCTTGCCCAGAAATTGTATTACTGTGTGATTTTGTGCATGGTTTTGACTGTGCAGTGTATTAGGACTTCGTTTAAATTATTTTAAACACTGTATGGAACTATTTTAAACCTAAACTTAGTCTTTAGGAACATTATTTTAAACTGGGATTAATTGAGGGAGAAATACAAAATCTAAGGGAAACTTAGTGTAGTGTACACTTTGTATCCACTGGAACTTAACAAGTCGTATGGATGATTTAATTGGGTAAAATTGTATTTTTCCACAGTGTTAAGTATGGTGAATTAATTAGAAATCAACTATACTTAGGTTGGGTTTAATAGATACTCAAATTTCTATTAACTGTATCAATTCATGGATTATATTGGAGGATTTGGTAGGTTTATATATCGGAGCTTGGCAAGGTTGTTATGTATGATTTAAATATACATATAAATCATATTTCTATAGTATTTGAAGTATTGGGAATTAACTAATTTTCCTTATGCTTAGTTTGGATTTATTTGATACTTAAATGGTACTAAAATGTATCAATTCAGGGATTATGTTGAAGAATGTAAATGTGTGCAAATTATGTATCAATTTACATTATTGGAGTTGGATTTTAGGCTCTGCATTAAATGTCTAATATTTATGTACATGAATTAACTTGTCTTGTGCATATTATGGATAATGGTTGATGGTTATTTAATATTGATTTATCAACTATGTTTACTGGAGGATTGTATGTACCGGTATGGGACGGTGACATACTAGGTAAGGATTAGTTCAAGCACTAAGTCCTACCTAATTTGGAATGAGTTGGATTAACCATAAAAAGGTTAAGTCCCACTTATATGGATGTATATGAACCGGTATGGGACGGTGTCATATTAAGGATGACTTAGTTCAAAACACTAAGACCTACCTATAATGAGAATGGATTAGTTCAAAACACTAAGTCCGACCCAATTTGGATTCAGGTATGGATTAACTATAAAGGTTAAGTCCATCACCTACATGTGTCATATCAATTGTGAATTGAATGATCTACTATGGTTTTAGAATGGATTTATTTTTATACAGATATCAGACCACTACACAGATGGATGATATTCTGTATTAGGAGGAGTATGGACTTTATATATTTATTATACGTGCCATGGTATGAGCTTGAGTCTTAGGATCATGGTTAGGGCATGTATATCGCCTAGGATGGATAACT